CTGAACTGTTCATCGCACTTGCATTCAGCTCTGCAGAATATCAAACACTAGAATTATCTATTTTTTATGATTAAATATATTTAAACCGAAATTCCTCTTCGTTCAGAAAATTCAATGTACATTTTTATCATTTCGTTAGTTAATTTTGTAGATATGAAAAATTATTTAAAGTCATAATAAAATCCATTCAACAATATTTATGAATTAAAGAATATAAATTGAAATATATCCCACCATATTGTCATACGATTACAAAAAATATTTTGATTATATTTACATTTAAAAATTCTTATTACGATTTTTTCCTTTTTTTCTTTATTATATAGTATTATATCATTTACTATTATTTATATACAACAATGATTGTATATAAATATAATGATTATAATGATTATAATATGGTTACGGATATATCGATTATATTTCGAGTACATATGTAAATCATGTATGAAAATTCATGCAAGTGTAAATAATTGAATTAATTAACAGAATGATTAAACGTAATGATTCTCCGTCCATTTCTTAAAAGGAGAAATTTGATTATAGTTTAATTGATTTTTTTGGTGATTTACATCGTAATTAATCCTGAATTGTGGAGTCCGAATCTAGTCTCGCCACCAGCGACGTAATTAGGACAGCCATCATGATTCTTACAGCACTCATCCGTTTGTTCAAACCACCCTAGATCATGTTTATCTTCAGCAACATCACCCTTTCCACACCATTTCGTACCTGAAGAGATAAATACGAAAAGACAATTCACATTTGTTTCACTATTAACAAAGAAACAGAAAATCCGTCATTCGAAATTTTCCAAATAACGGAAAAACTCATGAAACGTCAATTCAATTTTTAAATAATTAATAAATATATTGAAAATAAATAATTACTCTCGGATAATTACCTGGAAAAATTAAATCGAAGGGCGGTATCGCCGATGCAAAAAAAACTCTTGAAATAATGAAATAATTGATTAGCAAAAAATACTCCATGGAGAATTGAGTGGAAAACCGTTTTGAATCGTGGACACTGAAAATTATATTGCGAATTCTCAACTCACCGACGACTCGGCATTTTCTTTATCGCTATAATTATGCCTAAACATGTGTTTGTGGGGGAAATTACATTGGAGTAGACAAAACGGTGAAAAATGACGCTCGTAAATTTTCTAAAATTCCCGAATGGTTAGAATTACGTCAACAATTCATTTTACGATTACAGCACGCCATTCCATATTTATTCTATAAATTTATGACCATATAATTAATTTCACGTAATATAATACTTAATATTTAATATTATTTTATTATATTATAATAATAACTTTTCATCATTAAATCTAGAATTACAAAATATCAATTTGTTATAAATAATAAAATTATCCAGTCGCGTAGAGTAACAATAATGTAAACATTATTTATGAGGCTTGAATTTATAAATGTTATTCATTAGACTTTCATATATTTACATACATATTTATTTATTGAGGAGAGTTTTCCGTGAATTATACCAGATTTATCTTTCGCCGTTTGTTATTCTCAAATCTGTCAGCACTCAGCAAAGATAGGAGGATTTTCATAATGACCTTTTTCATAGATATTTTTAACAGCTACAAAAATGGTTCTCATGAAAATTCTGCTGGCTCCTTAGATCACAAGATACTCGTTAAAATCTAGAGAAACGGAATCACCGATAATTCCCAAATCATCATTTTCGCGGGCAGTAGACAAGCAACATTTTTTCCGCTCTTCCTATTTATGGGACGTACTCTTCAATTTCAATTTCATCTTGTGTAAAATATTTCTAAATTTGGATTTTAAATTAAAACCACTCCAATAGTTATAAAAGAATTATAATAAAAAATGAGAAAAAATTGTTGAGTGGTGGCTGATCTATTATATAGATATTGATTCCAAGGGGTCTGTAAATAAAAAAAAATAATAAACAATTACGAGTTAACCAGTCCGAGGAAAAGAATGGAATTGACAGTCAATGGTATTGACTCAATATCAATAAAAAATAAAAAACAACTGTCAAATGATACCAATGCCTATTTTTCTGTAAACTTGGCAGATTCCTTGGAATCAATATCTCTTTATCTTTATTTTTTTATACGCCTCAGAGTTATTTTCCCACAATTTGAAATCCAAATTTAAAAAAACATTAGGCTAGCAGGATAAAATTCAAATGAAAGATTACGTATTTATAGTACATGTTGGTCTTGATTTGGAATTCAGAATGAAAATCCAAAAAATAAAAAATGATATTTTGTTTTTAGGAGGAAAGAAGTCAAAATCGTACAATCAGCAGAGTGGAATTTTCACCGGGTGTTGATGACAACCGCAAATCTGTGACATGCAGAGCTGAAAATCCAAACGTGACAGGCCTCTACCTAGAAACTTCATGGATTCTCGATGTCGTATGTGAGTCTCTCATTTCTATTTATTCGTTTTCAATATCGCCACTGAATTTATTGCCTCTCTTTTGTTGAGCAATTCAAGTTTCGAGTCGCTTTTGGGG